ACTCAGGGGAGAGGTAAATCTATCACCACTACTGCACAGAGCAGACGGCGGGCCCCTGCAGCCACCCCCACAGGACAGGAAACTAACTGAGGCAGCCAGACCAACTGACTGCATCTCCCGAGGCTGGTAGGAGCTGGAGATTTTTTTTTGGCCAACCTTCTAAATCCTGGCAGGATTGGATTGGAAAGACTGAAATTTTAGTGTCCTCAAGTTCTGGACACAATTCCTGGAGACCCCTCATCTCAGTATCTCAGTCAAGGGGAGGCCTTCTGCGCCTGACACTGGCAAAAGGACTACAACTCCCAGAATACCCTAGGAGCAGCCAGTTCCTGAATTTTTCGTCCCAGGGTATAGGAAATTAAGTTTCTTGAGCTTTTTAAAACCTAGAAGGGAGTCAGAACCAGCATTCCTGGTTCTCAGGCTGGGGATCTGCAAGCACACAGGTGCCTGTCTGAGAGTGTAAGTATAGCCAATATCAGACTAGAAAACTACAACTCCCAGAATGCCTTGGGTGAGCCCTCCTGCAGACCGGCCTCCCTTAGAGCCAAAGGCTCAGAATCCCTACAGCTGGAAGATTGGAGTAAATGAAGCTGGCATTGAGAGTCGGGGTCTCTGAGGGAAGATGAGGGTGGGCCCCTGGATTTCCGTGTCCCCAAAGGTCAGGGTAATCCTTGGATTAAATAACCTACAACTCCCAGAATGCCCTCAGAAAAGCCCCTCCTGTGACCCAGGGGCTGACGGTCATTGAAGTCTCAGGCTTGGGTGGATAGAGTCGGGGACCCGTAGTGGGACGTACCTCACCCAGGAACCAGGTGGTGAGGAAGCCGAAGAGGACGGCATCGTTGGCCTCACGGTCGTACCAGGGCACCCCGATGTTGCAGGTATCCCAGAGCTCTCCCTTCCAGCGCTCCAGGGCCCAGGCTGAGGCCCCCACATCCAGGAGCACCACCAGGGGGCCCCCCTCGATCAGCCATCGCCCAAAATACACCTGGAGAGGGCCCACAGGGAGGCTCAGGGCTTCAGCCTCAGTCTGCCAGCGCCTTTGTGGTTCTCCCATCCGCAGGCAGATGTCTGGGCTTGGTTCTCTCACCGTCTGTTTCTGTATCTGCTGCTGATTTCTCACCCGCCGCCTTATTTTTCTACTTGCTGAGAGTTAGTCCCACCACAGTCTTTTTCCATCTGTTGCAACATTTTCCCCACCCCCTGCCTAGTTTCTGTAACCCTAACCCTGCCATCTCTGTGCCCCCACTGCCTGCCTTGTTTTACCCCCACTGCCATGTTTCTAACACTTGCCGTCTCATTTCTACACCTGCCACATTTCTCCACTTGGCTGCTTTCCTCCTGAGACCACGGCCTTGGTTCTGGGCCTGCTGCCACAGCTCTATCCAGCGGACAAGCAGTCACACTCCTCTCCAGCCCGGCTTTTCCCGGCCCTGAGCCCGACTCTGGTGCCCCTCCCCCGCCCAGCTGTTGTCTGCCCTTTTGCTGGGGGGGCGCTATTCTTAGGCCCCCAGCACGTGGGGAGCAGCTGCCCTGGGGTCCCTTAGGGACACACTCTGGGTCTGACTGGATTCCAGACCCCACCCCAAACCAGAGGCTGTGAATGGGTGAAGGAACCACTGTACCTCTCCCTCCTGGACCCTGGCCTGTCTGTCCCCTGGGCGGTAGCACCTCTTTTTCAGTCTTCACCCTGGGGTCCTGGGAGCCGCCTCCTCTCTTTAATCCCTGGATCTGCCCATCTCAGACTCTGTCCCCTGGGGCTGTGTGCCTACCTCTCCTCTCTTCATCGGTAGTCCATCTTTCTCTCTCCTTCTAGGGCTTTCTCTCTGAGAACTCTGGCAGCCCCTCCTCTGTGCCTAGAGCCTGTCTGTCTCCCTATTCTCTAGCCCCTGGCTCCATCCATCCCTGTCTCTGTGTCTGCCTGTCCGCCTCACTCTCCAGACTTGGCTGTTTAAAGTGATGATGATGATGGTCGTAATAATAACACTGACGATAATAGCTCCCACAATGCTTACTTCATGCCAAGAACTGTGCTAAACGCGTTATTCCTATTAAGTATTTCATCCTCCCAGCAGCCCTATAAGGTAGATGCTATTTAGTATGTTCATTAGTCAAGGTCACATGGGCAGCAAGTGGAAAGGCTGAATTTGGGCTGCAGAATCCTATTCCAGTACGCATGCTTGACCCCACGCCCCTTCCCCTGGGCTCTGCCTGGCTGGCTGGCTTTCCATCTAGCTCTTTTTCTCTCTCTGGGTCTGAGGTCTGTTTTGTACCTGCCATCTGTCTGTCCATTCACCAATGACTAGGATCTACCTGCCCACTTCATGGACCCTGTATCTGTCTGAGTGTCCTGTCACTCTCCCTCCTTGATGTCTGCCCAGGAAAGTGCCATCCCGTGTCTGTCCATGCCTCCCTCTCTCCCTGGGGCCGCCCACCCCCTGCCCCTTCTCCATCTGCTGCTCCCACCCTCACGGTGGGCTATCTGCTTCCCCGCCCTCAGCTGGGCCATGTCCCACCTTGCAGCCCTTGCTGTTCATGGAGTCCAGCGTCCTCTTCAGGGCCGGGGTGGGAGCCTCGAGCAGTTCCACCTGCGTTCTCACGCCCTGCTCCGTGTACGGTCCCACTAGGTAGTAGTTGTCGCCCCACTCATCCCCTGTCACCTTCGCCTTCGTCTGCAGCACCGTGTAGATGCCGCCCACTGTGGGCACAAACGTGTGAGGGCAGGTCTGGGACCTGGGGTGGGGTGGGAGCTGTCAGGGGCACTGGGGCCCCAGACCCTTGGCTCAGGGGGAAGAGGGAAGTGGGAGCCCATTCTTTGGAGTAGGGGGTTGGCAGCTTGGGGGCAGACCTCCTGGGTCTAAGGGGGAGCACTGGGGTCAGGACCCTGAGGGAGGGGGAGCTCAGGCCAGACTCCTGGGTCTGAAGGAATTAGGGGCTGGGGCCCCAAGGATGGCAGAGCTGGGCTCCCAGCTTCCAGGAGCTGGGTTTAAATCTCAGTCAGGCTCCAGGACACAGTGGGGGAGATCCCTCTTCACGGCCTATTCAGCTTCTCACAGTTGCCCAAGAGGAGCCTGAATCGTCATTCCCTGCCCTCCAGGGACCCTGTGACCTGTCTCCCAGTGTTCTCTCCCCAACTAGGGACACCAGCGTATGGGGCCCTGCCCCTACCATGATCCCACCCCAACTCCAGGAGTCTGGGCCCCCAACCTCCAAGCCTCTTGGAGCCTGGGCCCTGGCAGTACATGGCTCCATGTTCAAGGGCCCCCCTCAGGCTGTGAGACCCAGTCCCTTTCTCCCACAAGACCCAGTAAAGCAAACCCCCCAGCCCTAGCTCTTCTGAGGAGTGGGACAACCTAGCTCCTGACTTCCAGCCCCAGCCTTCTCCAAAACCAGAACCCAGGGCTTTTGAAGCCCAGGACGCAGAAATGTAGGCTCCCAGCCACTCCCACCCTAGGGCCCAGCCCCTGACCAACTTAGGACTTCCCAGGCTTCCCCCATCCCAGTACGCATGTGTCCCAGGCCACAGGATCCTCTACTAGGAACCGATAGCTAGGCCTTGGGCTCCTTCAAAGCCTACACATTCGGGCCCCCAACTGTCTCCACTCTAGGACCTAAGAATTAGGGTCCCCAGCCCCCTCCCATCTTTACTGCCAAGCAGCCGGGTCTCCGGATCCTCCCACCACTCTCCCAAATCTGCAGTTACATCCCCTAGACCACTTCTCCCAGTACTACGGGTCTGAAACCCCAGGAGCTTTCTCGGGTTTGCACACAGAAGTCCCATCCCCCGAGCCCCTTCCTTGTTCAGGACTCAAGTATCTGATCTCTGGGGAGCCTCCCTCCATCCTTCCAGGACCTAGGAATCTTTCGTTTTAGTGCCCTCTCCCTTAGGAGCCAGGACCAGGGCTTCCAGCCTCCTTTTATCTTAAGTCAAGCGAATCATCCCTCTCCGTCCACCAGGGCCCAGGAGACATACCCTAGCCCCTCCCCAAGGACATAGGAGTCATAGGCTTCTTGCCCAGGACTCAAGGGGCCCCCATGTAGCCCCGTCCTCCTACAACTCAAAGTTCCAGGCCCCTATCCCCGACTGCCCTTCTCGTCAAGGGCTCGGACGCCTGGCGTACTCACCCTTGTTGGCCACCTCCCAGGCCACCTCGAAGAGCACTGTGTTCTCCAGGTCGAACTCATCCTCCCACTCCTCCAGTCCTGGCAGGGAGGACATGGACAAAGTGCGGCTTAGAGGCATGGCTGGCGCGGGAGGGGGGCTCCAGGGGCCTCAGAGGGGGACTCCGGAGGCGTCCGGGGAATGCACCAGGCAGGGTGCGGGGCTGGGTAGCTGGTGCCCGACGGGAAGCTCGCAACGCGCTCAGCTTCCTATTGCACGACCGCACCCCCTCCCGGGAGCGTTCGGACCTAGGCAGGAGGCGGCCGCAGCGTCACTGAGCCCAGCGGCGTCCCTGCAGTAAAACCTTGTGGCCGCCAGGAGGCGGTGCCCGCCCCCCGGCCAGCGCCATTGGTCTGCACCCGGGGGCGGGGGCCACTGCGTCTCCTCATTGGTGGAGAGGGTCGGGGTGCCTGAGTTCTGCCACTTTCTAGTCAGTCCGCGAAACTCCAGGGGGCGGGGCTCGTGGCTGCGCTGAATGGAAGGGATTGGCCCTTAGCTCTGTCAATCTGAAGCGGGAGGCCGCAAAGTGAAGAGGAGAAGGGTGTGATAAAGAGAAAAGGAGCGTGGAAGGCGTGTGGTTGCTCAAAGAAGTGGTAAGGATTTTGCAATCGGCCTCAACAAGGAGGGGCTGGGTAAAAGGAGGAGGAGCCAGGAGGCGGTGGGAACAGACCCAGGAGTTCCGAACACCCGTCTTCCAGCTCAGCCCCACCGGATGGGCAGGGCCTAAAAAGTAACGACACGCCCACACCAGAGTGTTTACATATTTATGAGAAACCATCGAGATCTTTGGAGGACCTGTTGGCCTAGGGGGGGCTAGGACGCTTCGTTCCAGCGCACTTCCGTTTCCGCTGGGACATTTGGCGGTTGGTGAGCATCATGGCAACCGTGGTAAGTGTTAGAGCGTGGAGGACTGAGGAGGGAACCCGCACTCCTGAGTCTGAGGAAGGAGGGATCCGGGGGTCCGGACCCCTGGGTCTGAGGGAGGAGGAGCTGGGCGCTGGGACTCCTGGGTCTGAGGGAGGAGACGGCTAGGGGCTGGACCTGTGGATCCGAGGCGGTGAGGGGCGAGGTGGGTGCCAGGGCTCCTGCGTTTGAGGGAGTGAAAAAAGAAGGGGCTGGGACCCTGGAATCTCAGCTCTGACCTATTCATGGTAAAGGAACTCCAACTCCCAGAATCCTTTGGGCGCAAGGACCAGTTCTGCTGTCCTTCGCTGCACCATATGATGAGGGTTGTGGTATCTTGGGCTCCAAGCCATTTGGGAACCTTTGATTGTTGGTGGTGCGAATGGCACCTAAGTTCCAAGGGAGAAGCACAGACGTGGACCTGTCCTGTGTGCCTGAGAGCGTGAAGTCGCTTAGTGAGTCTTCAGTGAAAAGAGACCGTGTTGAAAACCAAGAGGGTGTCGGTGGGGAGGGGGAAAGCGTTGGGGGCCCAGGGGTCAGGATCTTGTCATGGGACTGTTTTGGCCATTTTCATATTCCCAGCACCTCATATGGGTCATGTCTCAGTACGAATGCTTAATACATTAGCGCTTTAATGTTTGAATGAATGAATGGGAATGAGAGACCAGGTGCACTGGGCCTGGTACTGGCTCAAGCAATATCTGAATGAAGAAGTAGTGTGACCTGAACTTGAGGATTGGGCTCGGCTTCCAGATGCCTCGGCTACCGTGGTGACCGCAGTCAAGATGGAGGAAGGGCAGGGCAGAGAGTTGCTAGTGGCTGGAGGGCGAGATTTGAGTCTGTTGCTGTTATCATGGCAAGAAAAGAGAGGTGGATAGGAAAGTGGAAGATGAAAGGACAATGGCCAGAGCTCCTGAGACCCGGTCCCCATGATGCGGAAGAAGTGTTGGAAATATGAGGAGATGGTGGATGCTGACTTTTGAAATGACCTCGGTTTCCATGGGACCAGTGGGGGTAGCAGGGCGTAGGAGAGGTTTGTGGTGAAAGGGAAGGATGCCTTGTGTAGGGTCTGATGGGCTGCGTGTGAGAGTCTGGGGCGGGGCACGTTCCCAGCTGTTATTTATTTACTCTAGAGACAGGGTCTCACTCTTTCACCCAGGCTGGAGTGCAGTGGCACAATCATAGATCACTGTAAACTCAAATTCCTGGGCTTAAGTGAGCCTCCTGCTTCGGCCTCCCAAATAGCAGGGACTACAGGCACGCACCACCACGCTTGGTTAATTTTTAAAATTTTTTGTGGAGATGAGGTCTTGCTATGTTGCCCAGGGTGGTCTCGAACTGCTGGCCTCAAGCGGTCCTCTCACCTCAGTCTCCCAAAGTGCTAGGATTACAGGGGAGTGAACCACTGCGCCAGGCATATTCCCAGCTTTTGATAGTAGTTTGGGGGTTAAGGTCCCATGCTCTAGGGTTCCAACCTCATGCGAGGACAGAGTAAGTGGGAAGGGTCACATGGCAAGGGAGAAGGCTTGTGGCCATGTGGTAGCCAGGAGATCTAAACTTTGGTTTCAGAAAGAGGAGGCTTCCCCTGGGTTGGATGCCTGTGTGTCCTCTCCTTCTGGTGGAAGAAGGGAAGAAAGACCTCTGGGAAGAAAGGAGAGTTGGGGTGGGGGGCGGGGGGCAGGTGATTGAGGGGCAGGTCAGCATGTCAGCTTCTTAGGCTTCCTTTTCCTTCTTAGAAATTATGGAATATTCTGAAGTGTTACAAAATAATATAACAGACACCCAAGGATTCACCACCTGAATTTTTTTAACAATCTTATTGAGATATAATTCACATACCATACAATTCACCCATTTAAAGTGTACAATTCAGACTGGATGCGGTGGCTCATGCCTGTAATCCTAGCACTTTGGGAGGCCAAGTCAGGAGGATCGCTCCAGGTCAGGAGTTCAAGACCAGCTTGAGCAAGAGTGAGACCCCGTCTCTACTAAAAATAGAAAGAAATTAATTGGACAACTAAAAATATGTAGAAAAAATTAGCCAGGCATGGTGGCACATGCCCGTAGTCCAGCTACTTGGGAGGCTGAGGCAGGAGGATCGCTGGAGCCCAGGAGTCTGAGGTTGCTGTGAGCTAGGCTGACGCCACGGCACTCTAGCCCGGGCAACACAGTGAGACTCTGTCTCAAAAAAATAAAGTGTTCAATTCAGTGGATTTTAGTATATTCACAGAGTTGTACAACTGTCGCCGCAATCAACTTTAGAACATTTTCTTCACCCCAAAAAGAAACAATTATACCTCTTATCTGTCACCTTCCAGTCCTCCCATACCTCCTGGCCCTAGGTAACCACTAATCTACTTTCTACCTGTATATTAAAAGTTTTGCCTATTCTGGATATTTCACATAAATGGAATCGTACAGTACGTGATCTTTTGTGTAGGGGCTTCTTTTGAGTAGCATAAAGCTTTCAGAGTTCGTCCATGTTGTAGCATGTGTTAGAACTTCATTCCTTTCTGTGGCTGAATACTATTCCATGGCACAAACAGACCACATTTTAGTTATCCATTCATCAGCTGGTGGACATTTAGGTTGTTTCCACCTTTTGGCTCTTGTGAATGGTGCTGCTGTGGACATTGGTGTACACGTTTTGTGTGCATCTCGGGGTGTCCTGTCCCAGGTGATGTTTACTCCTCTCCCTCCCCCATATGAGAGGAATGGTGGCTGGCTCCTGTCTTTGGAGAACTGGACACACAGGAGGCCTCAGTACGTGCCTGTTGAATGAGCTCATTACTTCATTGTATCACCTACTCAAACCGCTAACATCAGGTCTCTTGGTGAACAAGAGAGACACGGGCTGTGCCCTTCATAGGACTCATGTCTCCTGGGGCTGAGAACATTGATCCAACAGTCTCCCTCATGGATGTGAGAGTACTCAGGGAGATCAGGCTCCTAGGAGAGGCCCTAGAACATGCTGGCAGGGGCAGTGGTCAGGGAGGGCGCCCTTAGGGGGCCATGGTTGTCTAATGCAGTGAGGGATGGGGAGAGCGGTCTGGACAGAGGGGCCAACACATACAAGGCCTGGGGGCTGAGAGCTGGGGCACATGGTACAAGGGACACTGGGAAATTTGCAGGGGTCAGACCACATCTAACTCGATGCCTGCTCCAGTTTGGTCTCTGCCCTTACGCAGCTCACAGTTACTGAGGATGGGAGGGACTTCATTCATTCATTCAACAAATAATCCCTGGGCACCAAATACATGCTGGACCCTGAGAATAGAGCCGTGAATGAGACAGACAGCTCTTGTCTTCCTGGGACTCAGCCAACTAGCCATTAGCCAGTGACACTGAGAGGGGTGGGAATGATGGTGTTTGGTCCATCGCCTGCCTGCGAAGGGAAGGAGTGGAAAGGACTTTCTCATGGGAGGGACAGAGGGGGAGTTGGTGAAAGCTGGGACCACAGGAGTCTTCTGACACATTTTCCTGCACCCCCAGACAGCCACCACCAAAGTCCCGGAGATCCGTGATGTGACGAGGATTGAGCGTATCGGTGAGTGAGTGGGGTCAGGAACAGGACCTGGACCCTGCCTGCCGCATGTCCTGAGTGGGCAAACCTATCCAGGACCCCCAAAAGAGAGAAGGAGGTGGCCTGCGTACCAACCCCTCCTCCTGTCTAACGGGGAAGGATCCTGAGTTCCAACGTTGAGTCAGATGATCCATGGGGACAGGCTGGCCCCAACCCCAGCTGCATTGCTGCTAGCTTGGCTACCCTGGTGGGGCTTGGGGTGTACCTGCCTGGATTTCAAAAAAAGTAGATGTTTGGTGCTTTACTGGGGTTGGCCCCATATACCCATCACCCACTGGGGCATGAGCTCCCCGAGAGCAGGGACCAGGTCTCTCTCATTCCTAGCTGTGTCCCAGCACAGGACGTGGCAGAGCAGACGATCAACAGATAACCATTGAATGCGTGAGTTTGCACCCTGTTGAGCCTTTGTAGTATCCCAACGAGGTGCGTGTTGTCACTGTTAGCCCATCTTTAGCTGAGGTAGCCACCTCTCAGGGCAGCCGGGTCACGGGCTCCAGCGCACACAGCGAGCCATGGATCCGGGAGCAGGCGGTTGAGGTGCAGTGGGGTCGGCGGGATGCAGATGTGGCACAGAGCTTTACTTGCAGACAAGAGGTGATGCTCATTTGTCCAGCAGGTTCATTCGTTGAGCACCTCCTACAGAGCCAGTAAAGGGCCTGTGGCTCTGAGCGTGGGTTCTGGAAGCTCATTACTAGATTCTCTGAGCTCAGTTCTGCCACTTCCCAGCTAAGTGGCCAGGGACTAGTTGCTCTCTGTGCCACAGTTTCCTTGGTTGCTAAGACAGTACACCTCATCAGTATTAACTGATGTACGATTCAAAGATAATCCACATAAAGCAATTCTTGTGCGTGTGCTTACGCTGTTCACTCATTACAGGGCCAGGCACTGCCGGGAGCTGAGGACCCAGAGAATAGCTGTACCCAGTAGCTGCCTTTGGGGTGCTCATAGGCAAGCACAGGGGTTAGCAAATCTTTTCTTAAAGGGCCAGATGGTAAATCTTTTCTCGTTAGTTAAAACTACTTGGCTGGGTGCGGAGGCTCACCCAGGCAGAGGCAGGAGGATTGCTTGAGCCGAGGAGTTTGGGGCTGCAGTGAGCCCACTGTACTCCAGCCTGGGTGACAGAGGGAGATTCTGTCTCTTAAAAAAAAGTAGAAGTAACTACTCAAGTCTGCTGTTGCAGTGGGAAAGCAGCCACAGATGGTATGTAAATGAATGGGCGTGGCTATATTCTAATAAAACTTTATTTACAAAAACAGGAGCTGGCCCTACAGGCTGTAGTTTGCCCAGCCCTCTGAGCCCCCTTCCTCTGTCCATGTAGATGAGGGCCTGGGACTGTTGTCGTTGATCCCCAGGAGTGCTCCCAGGGTGATAATAGCTGGGGCTCTTGTTTCGCAGGGTTGAGTGGAATGAAATTAGAACCCAGGAGTGCCATGTGAGCCATAAACCACAGAGTAATTGTGGTCATTAGCCCTCGTGGTTAGTTCATGGTATAATTACATGCTTAATCAGGTCTTAATGATTTTAGTCCAACTAGGATGTGTCCTAAGAGCAGCTTCAGTTTGTTAAGAATTCACCACGTTCGGCCATCCTCCTGGTGAGGTGGTGATTCCCCGCTCCCCGGCCCTCCCTCTGAGAAGGAAACCAGGGCTTGGAGGGGATGCCACGAGCTGGCCAGTAACCAGATCTCCATTCTTTCCCTGCACACAGGCGCTCACTCCCATATCCGGGGACTTGGGCTGGACGATGCCTTGGAGCCTCGGCAGGTAGCACAGAGGGGGCCGGGGTGTCAGGGCCGCTCCATGAAGGCCTTGGTCAGGGGTACCTGGGGCTGGGGGACTGTGGGGACTGTGTCATGATCTTCCAGACCTTTGGCTCTGTATTAAATATTTCTAAATTTCACCCACACATAGAGTTTTGTTTGGGTGGAGAAAGCTTTTTTGGTGTTTCCCAGAAGGCCCAGCCAACGTCTGCTGCCATGGCACTAGCCAGGATGTAGTAGAAATGCAGTGGTAGTCCAGTAGGAAGTCACCTCACGTGCTCTTGCCTCCCTCCCCACAGGCTTCCCAAGGCATGGTGGGCCAGCTGGCAGCACGGCGGGCAGCTGGCGTGGTGCTGGAGATGATCCGGGAAGGGAAGATTGCTGGGCGGGCAGTCCTCATTGCTGGCCAGCCAGGCACAGGAAAGACAGCCATTGCCATGGGTAGGCCTCGCAGGGGAGAGGTTTTCCTGGTCTCTGCCAAATAATCCCTCCCATGTAAGCCATGGTCAGGATCAGCCATACTTAACAGACAACTCACAATGGTGATGGCTTTAATATGGGATTCCTTCTCCCTCCCAGAAGAATCTGAAGGTAGGCCGTTTAGGGCTTGCTGAGCAGTTCCACAAAGGCTTCTGTCTTCCTGCCTCAACGTCCTCTGCACTTGCTGCCATGTCAAAGTCACCTCGTGTTCCAACAGGGCTGCCTAAGCTCCAGCCTTGCCACCCATATTCCAGGCAGCAGAAAGAAAGAGGAATTATAATGAGGGTACACTGCCTAGAGTTGGCTCCCTCTAAGCAGCTGTCTCGGAAAGCCCACATACTTTTGTTTATATTTCATTGACCAAAACTTAATCTTATGATCACACTCTGCTGTAAGGGAGGCTGGAACATTAAAAAAAATTTAATTTTTTAATTTGGACCATTCCCGCTTTCAGAAAATGAGGGTTCTGTAACTAAGGAAGCTGGGGAAGATGGACATTGAGTAGATAACCAACAGTTCCTGTTGCAATTCACTAGTGATTTATGATCTTTTCACTTGCTGCTGTCCCTCTTCTTCCTTGTTGAACTCCTGTCCAGCCTTCAAAACCCTAGTCAGGCCGGGTGCGATGGCTCACGCCTGTAATCCTAGCACTCTGGGAGGCCAA